AGCAGGAGCGACTGGGTCTCTTCAGCTCAAACGACCTGATTTGTTCATTTACCAAATATCCAATGTGAGCGACCAGGAAGACACCTCAGTCTGAGCGACTCCCCAGGGACCTGCTGTCACTGGGGGAGCAAAGGTGGGGACAGGCTCCAGAGGTCTGAAGCCTGCACCTCCAGCACCCTCTCCCCCCGCCTGGCCCCAGGCGGTGCAGGCCCGGGACCAGGAAGGGTGAGGGCTCCTGAGGGCCGTCACTCATAACCCAAGGCCAGCAATTTCAGAAGAGATGCTCCGTCCAGTGAAGGAATCACTTACAAGCCACCCAAGGGCATGAATGGGTCACTGAAGGTGTGCATGGGGGTCCGAGTGAGCAGAGGGGGGCGGGCCCTCCTGGGTACCGTGTGGCCCACTCACACTGGAGGGTGTGAGTGAATGTGGGCAGGCGCGTGTCTAGCAGAGAGGTTGTGTGCATATGTGCATGCGTGTGCCTATATGGGAGGGCGTGAGTGCACCTGTACATGTGCATCACACAAAGAGAAGGACCGCCACCACCCTCTATCCCCAGCCCTTGAATTTGCTCAGCGTCCCTGGAGTTGCCCGGGAACCTCCTTCCCACATCAGGGAGGATTCCCAGATTCAACACATTAGCAGACCCCTGCAGCCTCTGAATAGCATGCGGTGCTAAGTTCCAGGGGCACCTCTGCCACCTCTGAAGCATTAGCAGGTAATTAATGAAAAATGTTTCCCCGCATCTGCTGGGAAAGTGCAACATACAGCTGCAGGGCAGGCAGGAGGCCCCCAGGCTTTCCCAAAGGATGGATGGGCCAGGCGCCCCGCCCTGGGGCTGAAGGTGCAGCTCCAGCCCCTCCCATCTCTGGTCCCTCCCACAACTCCAGCCCTCTCCTGGTCCCCTTTGAGGTTAACGGCAGTCAGGGCCCTTGTCCCCCAGGACCCACTGCCACCACCCCATCAACGGATCCCACAGACCTGCAGGTCGGGCACTTCTAGAACAAGGCAGTGAAGGACACCAATGCCACGGCTGAGGTCACTGAGCTTATGAACTAACTTCCATGCCTGGCTCAGGGCCAACTCCTTTATTCCTAATATTCCCTTCCATCCTAGCTCTGATCACCCCCAGATATCATCCTGGGATCTTTTACTTATTGTTATCATCTATCTTTCCCACTGGAACCAACGTTAAGCTTTATGAGAACAGGAACTGTGGCCACCTTGCTCGTCATGGGTCCCTGGCATCTTTAC